TTGATAATATAAAATTTATCATTTATGAGTTGAAATTTCAAAGATTAAGTCCTGTTATAAATATTGTTATGAACTTTCTACTAAAATTCTGTGAAGCACTGTTTTTGCAGTAAAATGAACTCCTTTCTAGATATCAAAGAATATTATTAATGTAATTTCAGTGCCATGAAGGGAATGGGATGTGAATCACTGTGTCAGAGAATAGGGAATAACTTATAATAATAATAATAGTAATATCAGTGTTACAATTTTTGGTGATTTTGAAAAAATATCTTAAATTCAAAGTTGCTTTAATATAGATTTCAAAGTACTGGATCATATGTTTATGTCACTGCTTTTATTCTGTTGTTTCCAATAGATTCCAGGACAGCAAACAGATGGTATGAAACTTGAATTTGCAGAAGAAAACCTCCCAAAAGAGGAAACAGAGTTTTTATCAACCCATTCTCAGATGACCAGTTTACAAGACATTGGTAAATTTTGATTACATACCACAATCAATATTTTACTTTTTTACCAAATATTCAGTAATTTTCTTTTCTACTTTAAAATTTGAGACAACTTAGTGACCTTGGACAGTTCATTGCAACCTCTCTGATCTCAATTTTCTCATCCTTAAAATGAAAAATTTGGCCTACTTATCTCTTTGGTCCTTTCCCACTTCTTACGTTCTATGAGTCTAAATTGTTTTAAATTTAAAGACATAAAATTGTTGGATTTAGGGGTACTACAGTCATGAGCATAGAAAAATGATCTTGAATTGCACTATTTATGTTTTCTTGTTTTCATCAGAAGTAATTCAAATTGAAACCTGAGTTACTACCACTAAGAACATTTTTTTCAAAGAAGAATTAGTATTTTCTGCACACACAAAGTGATTGTGGTATTTCAGTAATTTGTACTGAAATGGGCATTTTCTTCTATTCACATAACAGATATTGATCATAAAAGCAAGTTATCTTCTCTCCAAGATATTGAAAAAATTAAACAACTTGAAGAACAAGTTCAAACATTAGAAAACCTCATATCCTCTTTGCAGCAACAGTTGAAAGAAACTGAAGAAAACTATGGGGCAGAGATCAGTTGTTTGCAGGAAAGACTTCAAGCTATTGATGAATCCACAGTTCAGCCAAGGTATCCATCTACTTATAATTTCATTCAGTAGTATTTGTAGTTTAGTAACAATCATAGTATCATCTGGAATGGTTATTTTAAGGACAAAAATGTAACTTAAGCAAAGTTGCTTGAAAGAGATATAAGATGTAGCATTTTTCAGAAGTAAGAGTGGGAGATAATTCTCTATCTTTGAAATGTATGAAGTAGATGTTGAGGTAAACCAAAGACATTTTAGTATAGGAATTTTATTTACATTTTTATTTGCTAAAGATGCTGGTTGTTACTAATCTGAATTAAATCAGGCAGTGCGCATGTATTTGTGGTTTATTCTATGCCCAGTCTTTGCTACTTTGATGTGGTGAGTATTTAAGGACTATAAGATACAGTCATTCCAATCATGGCTGGATTTCCCTCCACTTGGTTGTCTAATGTTTAAATTCACCATGTCCCAAGTAGAACTCTGGATCTTTCCCTCAAAATTTGCTCCTTCTGCAGCCATCTCTGTCTATCATGAGTCCTCTTTGATACCTCTCTTCTAATTTATCAAGAAATCCTGTTTTCTCTGTACTTCTTTGTTTTTTCAAAGTACTTCTGAACTGCACCACTCCTCACCACCCGCGGGCCCCTGCCATCATCGTATCTCATCTGGATTACCCTAACTCCTCCCTGAAGTCTATTCTCAACATAGTCAACTCAGGTGGCAGAACCTTGCTTT